CCTAAACCCTAAACCCTGAGCACCCTCTATAGAACCTCGGCGATGAAGAGGACGTTTTGAGATTGGATTACAGCGGACCCTGGAAAGTTGGAACGGGGGGCTTAGGAGGATGAGTTTTAGCTTCCCTTATGCTTTACTGCAGGGGCCTTAATAATTGGAATAGGGTTTAGGGCCTTCCACATTATAGTTATAATAACAGTATAACATACCCCAAAACCCTGTCCTAGTTATTTAGGCCCCTACATTACCTTGCAGGCATGAGGAGAAGAATGTTCCAACTCTCTGGCTTCTACTTTAAGAGTTTCAGGATCTATTAAGATTCAGGGTATAGGGTGCTCTAAGGTATAGGTTTAGGGTGTCTGGTTTAGGGTTTTGGGGTTTGGAGTTCAGTTTGGGGGAGTGCTGCTGGGCTCTACATTGAACAGGTCTCAAGCTCAGTTAGGATAAGGTGTAACCCTGAACCCTAAACCCCCAAACCCTAAACCTTAGCCCTAAACCCTAACCCGAAACCCCTAAACCCCTAAAACCCTAAACCCCTAAACCCCAAACCCCAAAGCCTCAAACCCTATACCCTGGGGTTTGCGGCTTTAGGGCTTTTGTCTTCTGCCAAGGGCTCAGGGCCTTCATGGTCAGAAACCTGAGGAAACCTTGAAGTGACGCACGCCCTTCAATTCTGAAGCTCAGGGCTTAGGAGTAGGGCTTATAGAGTATAGGGTTTAGGGGTAGGGCTTATAGAGTATAGGGCTTTGGAGTAGGGCTTATAGAGTGTAGGGCTTAGAAAATTGCGGGTTTGGTGCTTTTAGGGTGTATAAAACTTCGGATTTATGATCGGTTTGCTCGCAATGTATGGCCGGGCCTCGCAACCCTCAACCCTACTCCTTGTCTCTGGTTCACGGCCACTCAGATGAATTTGTTGAGCCCTCCTCCCTCTCCAACTTAATCTCGCGAAGCACTATCGGGGTGCTTCGGTGATTCCAGCGCAGACTGTTTCGTCAGGCTGCATCCGTGTCTGCTTAAAACTTGCAGGGCCGCGAATCCAATGTTCAGCATTCCAAGCTTGACCTACAGTCTCCATTGTAGTTCCTTTTTTGGGCTACCTTCTGGGATCCTAAATATAAAACTGCTTCAACCAACAAAAGGAACTACAATGGAGACTATGGGTAGTGTAGCTGAGTGCCGCAATCTTTTTTGTGGTGTTGAGGCGCACAACTGCGTACATGTACACACGGAGCGTCTCATGACTCTCTGTCTCCCTCTCTCGGGTTTAAGGTCTAGGGTTTCGAGTTTATAGGGTTTTAGGGTTTAGGGTTTTAGGGTTAGGGTTTACGAGGATCACGCTTCTCGGAACTGAAACGGAAACACCTGAACAAGTCTTGCCATCAGCCTTCAGCTGCTGGCGCGGCGCAGACGTTTCTGCACTGGAGTACGAGGCGGAGTCGGACTCTGCCCAATACTGCTTGCCGTGAATTGCTTCTTCACCTCGTCCTCGTCCTTGTTACCTACCTCCTTCTGCAGGTCGTTCAGGGAATTCGCAGTGAGTCGGCGCTTCATGCTTGTCACAGGTGGCGGTATGGACACCTTCTCTGAACTTTCCTCCACGACCGCTGTGTCCGGAGCACGGGGACGGGGAGGCGTCGAACGAGGGCGCTCCTGCAAGAGCTCCTCTGTGAGCTCGTCCCTGACCGACTTCTTCTTGCATGGCTGGAGGTGCTCGGGCGGGCGGCGTCTGCACGATGCGGGAGCTGGGGTTCAGGGGTTTCGGGTTTAGGGTTTAGGGTTTAGGGTCTAGGGTTTAGGGTTTAGGGTTTAGGGTTTAGGGTTTAGGGTTTAGGGTTTATGCCTCTCGCCTCTGTGGTCATGCTAGGATCCAGGCGCCATAGCCGAGGGGTGCACGAACGATGACGCGGATCACGCTCGCCTGCTGGACTATATGTAGGGGCCTTCATATTTCGAACAGGGTTTTGGGGTATAGTGTACAATACAAACTATATAATCAGTAACCCCCTAAATAGTTCCTATAGTCTCCATTGTAGTTCCTTTTTTTGGTTCAACCAAATATATATTAAGGATTTTTATAAGGTATCCCCAAAAAGGAACTACAATGGAGACTATAGGTATTGGTAATTACTTAGGCCCCTATAGTACGTTGGGGAGATATCTGAGTTCAGAAACCCCTGGTCTCTACACAAACACGTCCGACCAAAGAAGAACTGTCTCGTGAACCGGTAGCCACAGGGCTATACGCCGAGATGCCTAGCGAACCCGTCCCAAAACCGTGCTTCAGGATATAGAGTTCACATCTTTTAGGGTTGAGGGTTTGGGGTTGGGGGGTTTAGGGCTTAGCGTTTATCCATCCCGGAAATATGTTCTTGAATCCCGATCCGTAAAGAAGCGGGTCGTAAAGTGCATTGCTACAAGATTCGGGGGATCGCAGCATGAGACCTAAACACCCTAAACCCGAAACCCGCAACCCGAAACCCTAAACCCGAAA